CCGTCGACGCGCAGATTCGCGAACAACCGATGCGGCCCGTAGTTGTTAACGGTAATTCCTCCAGGCCAGGTTAATCCGACGCCGCGAATCGCGCGCGATCAGTCGGCGAGTTAGCGAGGGAGGCGGATACACATTCGACGGAGGGCGACACGGCTGTATCGGGCAGATCGTTCAACAAGGAAGCCACGCGACACGCCACGCGCTACTCACGCGCTTTGCCTTTCCATCTTACTGCCAGAAGTGTCTCCCTCGGCTCCGTACCTCGCATGGCTCCCGTCTCTCCCCATGTTCTCCACTGTCCAATTCAACTGGTACCGTTGCTCGCCAGTTCGCCGTGTCGCGGGTGATCACGCTTGGTCCAGGTGAAGTCGAAGGTGAGAACTGCAGGTGAGAAACCGGGCAAGCGCATCGCGAGGTATCGCGATTACCTGGGTATCGCCACGTAAAATGCGGCCAGTGGATGTGCAGCAGTGTCCTCGATCCCGCGACTGTGGTGAACAGCATGGTGAATGTTCCGACCGGTAGAGTGTACGAGAAACGTGTTCGTGCGTCGTCAGGGCGATAGGTAACCCGGGGAACAACCGACCGGATTACGGGTCCTCGATGTTGTTCTTACCTCTCCGACCGGCGCCGTCGTTACGTATCGCGACGTTGTCGCAACTCAGGAAATATCTTCCCCGTGACGAATCTTCCGGCGAGCCTTTCTGGAAATCCGCGGAGACCCACGAGTCGATCAGCCGCTGAGTGCCTCTCCAGTTCATCCTCGGACGAGATCCAACGGGAAGCATGTCGTTGCATTATCCTCAGGGATATCGGTACCGTCCGGCGACCAAGGCCGTTGGACCAGGGAACGGAGAACAGGGATCGGACAGCGACGTCGCCGAACTCAGCGATCTCGAGGATGACGAGGACGAAGACGGGGCCGAACAGTCGATCAGACGCGTCGTTCGGCAACGGAGAGACGACGACCACGAAGAGGACCAAGAGGAAGACGAGGAAGAGGACGATGACGAGGACGACGACGACGACGACGACGACGAGAACGAAGACGACGACGGAGAGGACGAGGTGGATGGCGACGAGCTACCCTATCCTGGTTTCGTGCCGGTTGCCTTGCGATACCTTGACCAGAATACACGACCGCGCAACTGGTGTCTGGCGCTCATCACTAATCCATATCCTTTTGGAACGGAACGATAACCTTATTGTTTAGAAACGATCATTACCTTTTCAGCTTGCTACGAAAAGTAAGTCTCTTTAATAGACCTTTTGCAGTAGCTTCGTAATTTAGCTTTGAAATAACGTCGAGCATCTTTCGTTGCAAATTTTTTAACCTTCCATTAGCTTCTCGGGAAATATTTTTAAGTTCAGAGTTGACGGTTTAGGTAGGATATATTTCTGCGTTTTGGATTTTAGCTCGGTCGTAAATATTTTAATTAGAACTTTATTGTGGGGTGTGCGTTAATTAAAAATCGTCCTAATTTAAAATGCCACCGTGATGTTTGAGAGATCGTTAAATTATTCAAAATTGAGGTTTCTAAGCGAGGAGGTAAAAGCGACATTTATGACCTTTGGTTTTTGACTAGCTTTGATAACTTATAAATTTAAAGAAGGGAGGAAAATAAATTCCTTCGACTTCTTAAAGATTTCATTCCAACACTAAAGACTTCATAATTAATTTAACGAAAAAAAATTTAATTTAAAATTTCTTAGGTTAAATACATTGCCAATTTAATATTTTAAAAATCCCGCCAAAATTGACTTCAAAATAAATGACTTCTTTACTGCAATTTAGTTAAAAATTTAATAACGTAAAGGTTTGTATTAATTTGTGATGTTTTAATTGAAATAAATAATTCAGTGTCACGTTAGGTCAGGTATTACTAACCTAAAAGGCCCGCCAAAAGTCGTGCACTACCGAAAATACGGTAGTGGAAGATTTAAATTGGAAAATGAAACGATCGTATTCGGAATAACTGTAATTATAGCGTGGCGTGCAATGCACGTCCATTTTCACTGCGCCATTTAACGTGTTAATAATTCCTATTAAAGTGTGCCGTGCCATACACGAGCGTTTCTACTGCGCCAATCAACGCGTTAAACCTGCTGTCCTTTTCGTTTATGCTGTCACTTAATAACACTTAAAACGTGTCAGTCGCAAATTTTTTAACAGTTTCTTTTTTCCTGAGAAATGTGAAACAGCAAAATGGCGAATCTTAAGAGAAGAATATTTACAAAATTTTGGCAGTTATATTATTTATAATTTATCATTATTTGTATCTTAATTATTTATTACAAAATTCTGTTTTATTCTTCTCTTTTTTTTGTGCGATATAAAGTATAGATTTTAGGTAATAAAATGATAAATGAACTGCTTGATAATTTCCTGTTTTTGGGGCTTTAGTACTTGATCTTCTTAGCATCAGTGATATTTGTATTTTATTCAAAATTAAGTTGTTTAGAAAGAAAAATTTTTTCAGCATTTTTGAATTCAGATAAATTCCCGCCTTTTTATGGTTTCGATGAATTGGTAGAAAAACATACAAATGTCTTCCTTCAATTCGAATCTCCCCTTTGAACTTAAAGTATCTTGAACTCATGCTTTAATCTAATACTCCGGTACGAATTATGTTGAATGTATGAGGTATTGCTCTCCTGAGATGTTACATGCTTGAGACATGGTTGGGAACACATGCTTAGAAATTTGGGAGATACTAGTTTTTACATTCTTGTATCCCTAAATCTCCAAATACTAAATTAGCCAAATACTCAAACCCCTAAATTCCCAAACCCCAAAATACCCAAACTTTCAAATTCCTAAGCCCCCAAATCTCCACATATCCAAATTCCCAAATTCTAAGATTTAAAAATTCCCACATCTCCAAATCCCCAAATCTCAAAATTCCCAAACTTCCAAATCCACAAATCCCTAAATCTCAAAATTTTCAAATCCCCAAATCTCAAAATTCCCAAACCTCTAAATTCTCAAATCTCCAAATTCCCAAATCCCTAAATCTCCAAATTTTCAAAGTCCCAAATTTCCAAATTCCCAAACTTCCAAATTCCCAAACCTCCAAATTCCCAAATCTCAAAATTCCCAAATTTCCAAATTTCCAAATTCCCAAACTTCCAAATCCCCAAATCTCCAAATTTCCAAATCTCAAAATTCCCAAACCTCCAAATTCCCAAATCTCCAAATTTCCAAACTTGCAAATCCCCAAACTTCCATAATCGTCAAATCTCCAAATTTCCCAATATCCAAATTTCTAAGTCCCCAAATTTCCACATCCGCAAATTCCCAAATTCCAAACCTCTCAAATCCCTAAATCCTCCAACTCCCAAAGCCATAAAAAATAAATGAACAGCCCACAAAAAAATGATAAACCTTCCAAGCACCTTGAATAAATATTATTGTATGAGATGTTCACGTTTTATGCCCTCAAAGAAAACACTGCCGTTAGTGATCTAGATTCTAGCCAGAAGATGAACGATACGGAGGTGAAATTATAGTTTGACATGTGTTTTAGCTTCGGCCTTTCAACGTTCAAAGGATGCCGCACTCTGTTTACTTTGCAACCCTTCGAGTTGACACCTGATACCTCTCTAGGTCACTGACTGTATCGTCCCTACTAGATGGCGCTTTTTCATCGTTTCGGTTGCTATGGTTCTCTATCTTCACAATTTACAATCACGGTTCCACTAATAACCATCAAACAAAATTAAACTGATTCATCAAATCATGAGAGTAGGTCTGAAATTTTATTCAACACTGTCTAACTGTATGTTATACGAAATCTTCTTAGACATATTTAGCTTCACATTAAAAATGAAAAATTTGATATAAATATTCGTTGTAGTCTCTTTATGAGGACGCCATTTTCTCAAGTAGGGTCAATTAGGTTCTCAAATCGATTTCCATGGAAATGGTTAACATAGACTTCTCATAAATTGTGGAATGAGCAAAAGTTATGTGGGTACACACGTGGATCACATCCACATCCTTATTTTTGCTTCCCAAACTTCTAAACCCTGAAATATATTAAAAGTAAAATTAAGAGCAATGGGGTTGAGTTAATCTATGGTGTATGCAAATTTGCGAGGTAGACGGTAGGCTGGGTGCGTGAGGTCGATTCGAAGGTGTTTTAAATAGGTCATTGATTGACCTATCCCTAGGCGGAACTCACTGTGCTCCCACCACGACCACAACCACCACCACCGCTACCACCACACACGAAACACGAATTTCTGCTCGTTCCTTCCACCGTACACGCGCGTGTGTGTGTTTGTGCGCGAAATTGCGGAGTGTGGAGGATGCACGTGGTCCGCGGACAAAGTTTAGTCAGCCAGCATCGGAGCAACAAGCGTCGCTAGAAAGATTCCCATTGTGTGCCGCGGACAATGGACGACTGGAACTACTGCGAATGCAGGCCAAGCATTTCGCAATTCTCCGCCGCTTTTATCCCTCTCTCGTTTGCCCGTGGAAATTGAACAAACGTTCTCTTGTACCTGTACCTTTCCCTTCGACGAACACTTATCTGACCCAGTAAGAATTTCCCCTGTATCTCCGACGATTGCTTCTTTCCTTTGAGCCCCTTTTGTCTCCCCATTCTTTTTTTCTGTGAAAATACAACACCCCGGAGGGAAGTCGTTTTGTTAGGGTTTTTGCAGGGTCGAAGGACAAGGGATATAATTTAATGAACCCCTTTTCGGTTCGAAAATATATTTTTCAAAGTATTTCAAAATATTCATAAATAGTCGAGTAATTTATTTGAGGAATTTTAGGTCTTCTGTTTATAGTAACATTGTCTGCAAAGAATTCACTGTACCAGGTTAGACTTGCTAAACATTTTTCACAATTTACTATTTATAATTCTTTTCTTTTAGAAGTTCGTTGAATATTTTAACTGAAGGACTTCAAACGTTGTTAAAAAAATAAGTTAATTTGATACCTTAAGTAACCCAATATTTTTAAGGAGGTTTGCAAAATAAATAGTCGTTTAAGTAAACACATAAAGTAGTGTTTTAACAGGACACAGTCAGATAGAAAGTTTACGTATAATGTTAGGATGTTTACCTTCGTGCAATATCGCCTTCATGATTCCGCTTTGTGTAGCGCGCGAAACGAACGTTGCGTGACGTCTGCGTAACCATTCAGCTGTACTACTTTGCCGTCTGATAAATGATTCGCTCGTATTATTGCTACTAGCCGTCATAAACATGCGTGAAATATATGTTCACGTTTACCTCTATTTTATACCGATACTAGGTCGTTACCTGAGCAACACTTCTCGCGTTATATCGCCATGTGTTGTTTCACATGTAGACCGTCAGGAATTTATTGTAATTTCAGAAACTTTGTACTTTTTCTGTCTGTTGCAATATAAGGAGAGTTTATTGTAACTTTATTCTGTATTTTTGCTTGTGGCAATATAACGAGAGTTTATTATAATTACTAAAGTTCTGCATTCTTATCCAGTCTGTGTCAATATAATAAGTTTATTGTAACTTAACAAGATTGTACTCTTACATTTTCATTTGCGGCAATATAACGAGAGTTTGTTATAATTGCAGAAGTTCTGTATTCTTACATTCCTGTTTATGTTAATGTAACGAAAGACTGTTGCAACTTATAAAAATGGTGCATTCTTACATTTCCATGAATGGCAATATAACAAGAGTTTGTTGTAATTGCAAGACTTTTGTATTCCTACATCCTTGGCTATGTCAATGTAACGAAAGACTGTTGCAACTTAAAAAAATGGTGCTTTTTTACATTTTCATAAATGGCAATATAACAAGAGTTTGTTGTAATTGCAAGACTTCTGTATTCCTACTTCCTTGGCTATGTCAATATAACGAAAGTCTGCTGCAACTTAAAAAAATGGTGCATTCTTACATTTTCATGAATGGCAATATAATAAGAGTTTGTTGTAATTGCAAGACTTCTGTATTCCTACATCCTTGGCTATGTCAATATAACGAAAGTCTGCTGCAACTCAAAAAAATGGTGCATTCTTACATTTTCATAAATGGCAATATAACAAGAGTTTGTTGTAATTGCAAGACTTCTGTATTCCTACATCCTTGGCTATGTCAATATAACGAAAGACTGCTTAGCTTAAAAAAAATGGTGCATTCTTACATTTTCATAAATGGCAATATAACAAGAGTTTGTTGTAATTGCAAGACTTCTGTATTCCTACATCCTTGGCTATGTCAATATAACGAAAGACTGCTGCAGCTTAAAAAAATGGTGCATTCTTACATTTTCATGAATGGCAATATAACAAGAGTTTGTTGTAATTGCAAG